CCCATCAGAATGTAATAAACTGTCCGTCCGTTTATTGGAAAACCCTCCGAGATGTTTTGGGTCTAATCCGATCCCATTATTTGACAATCGCAGACGATAAACTTGTAACATTGACTTTAGTAGTAAAGATGTTGACGCCACAGCAAAAAGGTGCAATGCGTGCTTTGGTTAACGGAATTTAAATCAGTCTCGTGTGCACAGTGACGTGTTCGTGTTCGAACGCAATGGATTGTAGTTACTGGCTTGCCAAATGAACTAATCAGGACTCCTGCAAAATGAATCACATACGATCAACAGTGTCTTCTATCACGAAAACTTAAGGATACTTGCTATTTTTTTTTGAGATACCAAAGTTCCTGTCTCCTGTAAAGTTCTTTCCCATTGGTAGATAGATTTTGATGTCGGAAGATCGACTTTCCATTCTGTTCGAACACGTCGCAGTACACACGTGACTGATTAAAATTCCGTTAACTAAAGATTTCTCTGCGTCTTTTACTGTGACGTCCACATCTTTACTAATGAAGTCAGTGTACCAAGTTATCGTCAGCGATTGCTACATGCGGCCGATCGAACTAGACCCAAAAATTCTCGGAGGGGTTTCCAATAAAAGAATGGATAGTTTATTACATTCTGAGGGGTAGTTTCATAATAACAAGCCAGAATTTTTGGATACCTTAATCCCAGACACACTGTATTACCTTACTGCTAAATACAGAATCTTAATTTTGGGTGGGGGGATTTGAATTAAGAATTCATAGTGGAACATCAAATTAAAATAGAATGTTGGGAAAAAAAGATTTCATTGATAAAATTCAAAAAAGGTTAGTACAAATTTTTTATCACAAGCGCACAGTTAAAATTAGATATGTTTACATGCCAATTGCTGAAGTGTAAATTTGTCTGTTGTTTAAACTAATAGTAATTACAATAGAAGAAAGGTTTTTTTTTAAAACATAGAATTTTCTTAAGAAATTAAGTAGACTTATGCATTAATTAATTTCATACTTTTGTAAAAAATGGAAATTTATTTTAAGTAATATTACTAATTAATTAATGTAACATGTATCTAGAAAATCGAATTTATTATAATCTATTTCTGTAATTTTGTAAAAAAAAACCTAGACTCTAGACCGAGACATTTTATGTGTGTTAATTACAAATTTATAATTATTATAATGACTGAATCAACATTATAATAGTAGAGAGAGTTTAAGACAGTCTTCGCTTAACATTAAAAAAATATCTTAAACTCCAAAAAAATCTTTAAGTATGAAAATCACCCAACGATAATTACATATTTTGATTTCACTCGAATATATAGAGTAGAGAGTACTTCAATATTTCCTTCTCATTTCTTGTATCGATATTGTCTCAGATACTTTAACAATGCACATATTTTGTAATTAGAATATATTGTTACGAATTTTGTGTAAATAATTTGTATTTGAGTGTTTAATGCATTTATATTACTCTGTTATATTTATTTCATGTTAAAATTGTACTATTCACAAGCAATGCCGCCCCTTACGTTATAATGGCGATTCAATGAGAACTTGGCGAAATCTTGGCGGTAGAGTCAAGTTGGCATCATTTTGGAGACCAAGTTTACAGCCAATTTGGCAACTTTGGCGACCATTTTGGCGATTTCGAAACTCTCTGGAATCTTCTAGAAAGTAGTAGATCTCTCCACTAGTGTCATGTTCAATGACACGAGCGGTTATATTTCTGGAAGTTTCTGTCGCGCCTATTAAACGATGCTCGCCGGTACGGCGAAGAGTCTTGATTAAGCCAGCGAGTAATGAGGATTGTTTTGACTAGCGATTAGCTCGGCTGTGCTTGTGAATAATCTTTACCTACGTGTATTTTTAAACACTGGTGATTGTGTTTGATTGCTGTTGAAGGTGTGAAGACCTTCGGATATTTACCCTGTGAATACTGCTGTTGAATTCTGTATTTAAAGGATTGGATTTTCGATAATAAATTCACATCGCTCTTAAAAAAACTGTTTATTTTCTTTGTGATTGTTCTGCATAAATTCCACGAACCCGGATCTACATAACAATATATTACAGCAAAAATGCATCTTTAATTATAACAATTTAAATCAAACGATGGTTATTTAAATAAACAATAATTTGATTTACTGGCATTTACAATTTTTTTTTGCTTGTAACCTGTGTATATGTTTTACATTAAACAGTTTTGGTGCTTAAAATGCCGCAAAAAAACTATTTCACTTTTTAAGGTATCCCACTAAGTTCGGAACATGGATTTGAAAAAGCTTATAAACGAATATTTTTTTTTTATATTTAGTATCTCCTGAGTTATAGAATATATATATAAAATTGTTTTAAGAATATTATTACAAGAAAAAATTATTTAAATGCAACTTTTTGGCAAAAAAAAAAAAAAATGAGGATAGAATGACATATTTTCAAAGCATTCAATTTTTTTGGAAAATATTTCTGTAATAACAATATTTTGCCTGTATATAGTTACGACTTTTATACAGAGCCTGAATTAGGATTTTTGAAATATATTATTTAGAAGTGGATTTATATTCATATTTTAATACATCAAAACAGATAATTTAAAAAAAAACATCAATTATTACTTCAATTGATCGTAACTCTGAAAATAATGTGAATTTTTCAAAAATCCTAGTTTAGGTTCTGTAGAGATGTCTTATCTACATATAAGCAAAGTATTATAATTACAGAAGCATTTTCTTTAAAAGGAGGATGTTTTGAAAATGTGTCCTTTTTTATCAATTTTCGTCTAAAAATTGCATTTAAGCAATTTTTTATTCCAGTAATATTCTTAAGACAATTTTATATGTTTATTGTATTTTAGGTGACACTAAATATCAAAACATGTATTCATCTATACGCATTTTCAAAACCATGGTTCCAAACGTACTGGGATACCTTAAGGAAAAATTTTAAAAACTTATGAAGGTTTTTTTTTAAATGCTATTTCTACAATTATTATCTTAAATGCATGGCATTTCATATACAACTACGACAAACCATATATAACAAGAGTTGTTATGGGATCTCTGCTAAAATGATTGATATTCGTAAAATACTTTTTTGTGAAAGGTTATTGAAAGGTTTCTTAATATCTTTAGCATGGCAAGCTGGGCTAAGGACGAAAGGCTTAAGGCACGAGCAAAGTCGAACGATACTAACCTTCAGTCAATCGGACCAGCCAAACCTGAGATAATCACGATTTAAATAAATTTAAAAACCCTGCACAGGGACAATAGGACCAATAACATGGGGGGGGTTTCGGCAGACTGTATCTGGAGATAAAGTGAACCAAATGTGACACCTGAGACCTCATATTGAATATCTCGGCGGGAAGAATCGTTCCTGAGAAAATTAAGACATCTACCTGAAGAGCCCCCGAGTTATGGTCCTTTTAAAATAATTAAAACATTTAAAACAATTAAATAAAATAGAAACAGAGCACCTAGCAACTCAAAACTGGGCCTGGTCATGAGCAAACACAAGAGGAACCCATTAGAACTGGTCCGGAGTCTGTAGTTGCAAATGGGGCGGCGCTAGCTCGGGAAAGGAAAAAGAAACTAACTCCTCCAGGGGGGAACAACTGTGACGTAAAGGGTCACTTATATCCCAACGATATATAGAGTAGTAGGTGATCCCAAAGTTTCATCCTTCTATCTCTGTAATATCGTTATGTCATCAAGATCGAACCCCATAGGTATAACATGGGGATTCTAATTTTAGTGATAACGCCTTCCTAACCCACTACCTACACACGAATTATAACAGATGAAACAACTCAACGAGGAGAACCTGTGATCCGAGTTTCCTTAATGAATCTCAAAAATCCTCGGAGCTATGCGGGAGATTTAAAAAAAAATTATAATCTTAAAGTAATTTTAAAATATATTAAATATAGATAAAGAAATGGGGCTATGATCCTTAAAAAATATGTCTAGGATATTTATAGGAAAAACAATCCAATCCAGAAGGTGCGGTTGACAAGGTGGCATAGGATTCGAATTATTTCTGGGGAAGCCCTGTAAGGGGGAGGGAGCCGATTCCACGTAAAGCTCGCGCTAATACGAAAATATGGCGGACCAAAAATCAAGTTCCAAGCTCAATTCCTTGGGGGGAGGGGTGAAATTTTTCCAGTCCCCATAGGATTAACAGGGAGCATGATATTTTAGTTCTTAAGCCCTCCCCATGCCTACACAATGTGAATAAAGCAGATGATTGGATGGGTCTCGACGAGTGGAACGCTTGGTTCAAATCTCAAGTCCGAGACTCGAACAGGAGCCAAGATATTGTGAATTTAAACAAATTTAAAAAGTTTAAGACAATTAAAAACAATAGAAGAAGTAACGCTATGAGCATGAAATTATAATAACTGGAAGAGCAGATAGATAGGGATCGAACGAGCCAGGTCCGAATGGAATGTGAGGCTCGGTTGCCGAGATATTGGCCAAAAAGCTGTAGATAGGGGGATGCGTCCCAAAAGATATGGTTTAGAACAATAGTTATTATGATCCCCCAAATATCAGTCCCAAACCACCAAAAATGGGGCATGTTAAAATATTAGACAACGGTGTGCACGCACATCGTAAAAATTTACCCTCATCCTTTTTCTCTAACGCCCAAAAAGAAATATAACTTCAGAAATAAAAATACGAATACAAAAGGCTTTTATAATTTGTTACAATGTATAAATGTGTTTATGTTCATCGTAATGCGTTCGTAGTAAATACATCTATAATCATATACTTGCAATTGTTATTTCAATAGGTAAACTAATATTTACTCTTATGTTTTATATACATGAAGCACAATTTAAAGATTAATTTACTAATTTTTTTTAACTTTCCAGTATGTTTGGTTTAATAACAAAAGGTGTTCAAACAAATGCATCAGAGAAGCTCTGTAGGTGAAGGACGATCTCTCCCTACTAGTAATGGCGTCACAAATCAGCGCAAAGCAAAGGTTCACAGACATGAGGTTATAGCTCAGTAGTAGAGCATTCGACTGCTAATGGAAAGGTCCCCGATTCAAACTCGGGTGTACTTTTCTTCAGGGAAGTGAAGAGAAACATTTTTTAGAGAATTTCGAAGGTGGCAATGATCTGCCCCGTTCTGTATATTTCTAGACAAAGCATCTTCGTATCCGTTCCTAAGGAACGAAAAGCAAAGGTTTGCTGACGTGGGGGTACAGCCAGCACAGGAGGTGCTGGTATAGCTCAGTGGTAGAGCATTCGACTGCAGATCGAGAGGTCCCCGATTCAAACCCGGGTGTACTCTTCTTCAGGGAAGAGAAACAATTTTTGAGAATTTCAAAGGCAGGAATGATTTGTCCCGTTCCATATATTTCTAGACAAAGCATTTGCATATCCGTTCCTACGGAACGCAAAGTAAAGGCTCGCTGATACGGGGTGTATAGCTTAGTGGTAGAGGATTCGACTGCAGATCGAGAGATCCCCCGTTCAAACCCGGGAGCCCCCATCTTAGGAAGTGAAGAGAAACATTTTTAGAGAATTTCGAAGGCGGCAATGATCTGTCCCGTTCTGTATATTTCTAGAGAAAGCATTTTTGTGTCAGTTCCTACGGAACGCAAAGCAAAAGTTCGCTGACACGGATGTATAGCTCAGTGGTAAAGCATTCGACTGCAGATCGAGAGGTTCTGCGGTTCAAACCCGGGTTCCCCTTCAGGGAAGTGAAGAGAAATATTTTCATGAGAATTTCGAAGGCTTCAATGATCTGTCCCGTTCTGTATATTTCTAGACAAAACATTTTCGCATCCGTGATGGTATGCGCGCGCATCGTAAAAATTTAACCTCGTCCTATTTCTCTAACGCTCAAAAAGACGTATAACTTCAAAAATAAGCATTGCTTTGATTAAAAGTGCAAACCAACTTTTGTTACATGTATTGATAGCAATAGCTCTAAAAATGTAGCAAAGCATTTGACACACAATGTATAAAAAGCCTTAACATTTTAAATGAAGATAGACTAGTGATTTTTTTCTGAGGTTAAACAGCCGTATGATTTTATTTGTCATTGGAAACTGAATAAAACGAATATAAAAGTCATAGCTCTAGATTTTTTTCTAAACTTAGAGCTTTCAAATTTCATGATATTGCAGAAAGTTATACAGGGTATCCCCGAATGTCGAGTACAAACTTGGAGAGGAGGTAGAAAACATCGTGTGCAGCCATCGGATAGTGACAGGTGGCGATGAACGTGAATCGTTACATACGAACGCCGAATTTATGGCGATTATCCACTTCATCTACGGCAAGGGTACTCAACCATTTTGTTCTGCTGGGCTGCATAAATATGTCAGCTAATTCACGCGGGCCGCAACATAAGGATAAATGGGGGAGGGGGAAGAAATGCTTTAATACCAAGATGAGATTGGAAATTTAAAATATGGAAAATTCATCAAAATGTTATAACTCATGTGTTTTGCTTTTTTTTAATTATAATTATACATATATATAAATTTCTTATTTTTGTCACTAACACCAAGAAGCATTTAAGAAACACTCCTTCACAATCGCTGTATCAGTAAACGGTTTCATGATTACCAATAATATAACAAACTTCATAGGATGTCTTTGTTACCGCTGTGATATTACCACTGACAAAATTGTTGCTAATGCAAAAATTATTCAAGAAACCAATTACCGATCCATGCTTGTTTTTACTCAACTTCCCAATCGTCTTGAAACGATATATATTTTCTTCGAATATTTTCCGCTTGCAAAATTTGAAATATAGTTAAAAATTAGTTCTACCCATATAATTGTCGCGACTCCGCTGTTGCCTGCAATCACTAACCGTAACCGTTCTAAATAGAAAAAGAATATCAATTCGTACCCGTTCGACACCAACAGATAAAAGCAAAATTGATATATATGATTTCTTGAAAAAAAATTTCCATCAAATATTTATTTCAATGTTCTGAAATAAGTAAATTTCTCAAAGCAACGGGCCATGGCCGGACCACTTAAAAAGGTTTGGTGGGCGACATGTGGCCGCGGGCCGCAGGTTGATTATCACTGATCTAAGGCCTAACTAATGAAAACGGACGTGCTGCTGCTCGGTTACATGGGGAAAGAGACCCAAAGAGTCGGCAACCGAATCATCATACATTCACTCGGGAGCCACAGAACCTGGCGGAACATGGGTCCTTCAGAACCACGATTGACGACACGCCCGTCAATTCTGAAAAGGACTTGGTGGCACGAATTTTATCGCTGCTGCTACGATCCATAAAACGCCTGGTATTTTCGAACATGTCGGTCAGTCCCTGTCATGTCGGTATCGTGCGTGCATGCATGCCAATTGCAAAAATTTCAAACACCTCCCGTGATTATTTAAGGTTATACTTTTAATTTATTGTTTTTTTTCTGCAATAAACTTAACATTTACACTACATTTTGTATTGTGGCCTTACTGTCTTTGTGTTTCTTTATCGCGTTAGGGTTACGTTTCTGTCCATGCTTTCCTCTGTAATTATGGCCTTTCAGGAAGTTATTTACCTTCCCTCCAAACTTGTACACGGCATTCGGGTACACCCTGCATAAAGAACAATTTAAGGTACAATAGTTTATTTGACTTTTTGTCCAATTTTGGTCAATTGATTTATTCGGTGTCCCCTTCTTTTTTCTTATATAAATTTAAATGACTCATACTAGTAAATAGGCAAAACTCTTACAATAGCATACTAACTTGTATCTATATCAGTGCTTCTCAAAGTGTCCATATTCGCGACCCAATATATTCAATCATAATTTTCTTCGCGACCCCCTCATACAATAACAACGTATTGAATTCAATAATAACCTACTTTCAAGCTAAAACTACGATGCGAATTTTTTTTCTTAAGTGCCATCACGTGTGTAAACGTCTCGCTAATCCAACATGTTTATATTCCCGGACGTATATATACGTCTTTCCGAAGAACGATCTTTTCTGCACACTACTAATCATAAAATTTTTCCGAAGGCTTTGGAATGTAACAAAAGGACCTTGACAACGTTTGGGAAAGATTTAATTATTTCAGATTATTTGCTTCTTTATTCCTTCCCCCACCCCTCAATTCATCCCATACTCACGCCTACGTGGAAAACTGTTGGCATTAGGAAGCGGATTGTGTAACCTTCAATCGACAGTTAATGGATTAATTATTACCGTAGAAAAGATCAAGATAAATGTTAATTTTTGTAAATAATTTTATGTATGACAATTAATGGGGGCACTGGTTATTATTAAACTTGTTCTTAACTTAGTATTGTTAAGTTAATTTAAAATAAATTGTGTAACACTGATACACTTATAAGTGTAAATGTGTATTTTATTTTTTATTACGTCAGAATATATTTTGTTTGTTTACTTTCAGTAAATTAATAATTTCTTTTTAAAAATAATCTTTTGTTTTAAACTTTTCAATATGCTCGCCCCCCCTTGTACAGTTGTCACGCCCCACAAGGGGGCCCCACAGTTTGAGAAACACTGATCTGTATTGAGACGTCCTTTTGTCTGAAAAAGGGTATGATTCTCAATTTAAATTTTTCCATAGGATCAAACGAGAGTATTCTTAAAACAGAAAAGAAAAAGAATCATTCACTAGTTCGAATAAGGAGTTAAAATATTTTATATTTTAGGCTAGACTAGTATCCCCTCTCAATATTTGCTTCATCGTCATAAAGTTGAATACAACAGAACTTACTTTTTTCCTCATTTGATGTACAAAAGAAATTGTCTTCTTTAAACTACCCTCCAGGAAAACATGCTCTTTCTTTTCCCTCTTACTAAATATTTAAGAGTAGCGTTGAGCGGAACTAAAATAAAACAAAGAAATATTCTCTAGGAAAAAAAGAGCACCAACAGTTTAAAGTTTTTCATCAAAAAAAGTTAAATTTGTTAGTCTAGATAAGGGTTATTACTATGCAAACAAGAAGCATTCTTCGGAAACATTCTAGAAGAACAACATTTTTCATTCTGTTTTTGTTTTAATATTGAGGCCTTAAAAAGTTTTTGCTTTTATAATTATTTTCGTTTTTTTATATAAAGTTTCAAAAGATTTTAGCTGATTGTAATTTATGTCATGGTTAAATAGGAAATGGAAGTTATGGTAGAATTTCAAGAAAAAGACAAAAACCAGTTTTGTTTTTTTTATTTGTAAACACTAACGCATAGTATTTGCTTTAAAGCATATCATCACCTTTTATTCTGAGGCGTCAATAAACCTTTTTACATCTTTTTTTTAACTTGATAATTAAGATATACCTATCTTTGTAATATAGGTAAAAATTAACTTCTCAATATTCTTTATACCACGACTAAAAGTTAATAAGGTTTATTAATGAGATTTTCCAGGAAATGTTGTTTTTAATATAATGTCGAGTAGACCGGGTTTCGTGGATTTTATGGTATGCCAGTTCCAGAAAACAAAAAAGTTCTTTAAGAGTGATAAAATTTATCGAAATTATACAGGATAAACAAAAAGTAAAAAATCGAAAAGACCCATAAGTAAGGTGACTAGATTTTAACTTTGGTAAAACGGAGATCCACACTAACAAGAAGGGGGGATTCTTGATTAAAAATTTCATTTATATTTATATGGAGCAACAAAAAATTTCTTGGAACGCAAAAATAGTATTCTAATATACAACCTCTGACAATAAAGTTCGGTGAATAGTCCTGTAATATTAACGTAGATGAAATATTAACGAAAGTTACCTTGCTGTCCTTCGAAATAGTCACCTCCCATAACTATGCACAGCTGATATCTGCTATATATGTCCTGATAACTTTGTAAGAAGTCTGCTTTTGGAATGGATTTCAAAAGCTACGTCTTATTTCGTTGGATGTTAGGAATATCGTCAATAATAATATCGGCAATATCGATAACACCTTTTTCTCATTTCTAAATTCTGGGTAATGATTTGTTGCAAAGATTCACGGTTCATCTGCAGGTCATCAGCTAACTGCGCATAGTTAATTGACGATCTTTAGTGATTAGTTTCGTCATGTTCTCAATGTTTCCGTCACTGACAGAGGTTTT